TTCACAATTACTTCCTACTCTGAAGTACCACTTGTAGGATTGCTGATCCTCTTGCAGGATTCTAAGTATCACATTTTCTGTGTGGATACGTGTGTGTGTGTGTATGTGTGTGTGTGTGTGTGTGTGTGTGTGTGCATGCGAGTGTATTTCCAGTATTATACGGAGTACTTTTCATAACTTCCTATACCTAGGGTAAATGCTCACATATTCATGAATGGTGTTTACTATATCAACTATAACTTTTATTCAAATGACTGATGATGCTGTTAGATAAACACTAACAAGAGTGCATGTAGTTGAACAACATGATTACATTATTTATTCTCATATGTATTTGACGGTGACAAGAGAAGGCTTTCAGAGTAAGGTGAGCTCTCTCAGTGGCAGGCTGCCTGGTTTCTGCATCTGCCCAAGTTTGACTCTAACTACTGCTCTGTATTTCAGCCCCGCCTTACTCTTAATGTTCCCTCCAATAAAGCTTTACCTGGCTCCTGTCAGGATTAGCCAGGAAACCTGAAGAGGCCTTTGTCTGCCTACAGACCCCTTTCCTCTGCCTGCCAGCCTGTCAGACACATGCACCTGCTTGCTCATTCACTGGGATAATCTCATTATGTTTTTCTCACATTTCATTCAAATTCACTTCCCTTGTTTGTTCCTTCTCTTTTCATAGTCTCTCACATACTCCATCCCTCATTTCTGTTATACAAGAATATTCTCATTAAAGCCTACTGCTCCCCTAGTAGGTCCCAAATTATTACTTCCTCTGTCAGTTCCTGAGGAATGAAACACTTGGAGAATATTTCAAAGAAGTTTTAAATTACACGTGAATTTATGGATTATTTTTCAGATACCGATATACTTGGTGGTTACTCTGTCCTCAGAAACAGTGCTAAGAGCTCAATCTAGTGCCAAATTGGAGAACAAAGGGTTGACTGCATTGTTTCCTGCTGGGACCCTGACAGCCTAAGAAACATCACAATGAATAAGGCACTTCCTCAAAAGGTTTATGCACAATAGGTCTTTCACTCTCCAACCCCAGTGATCCTCAAACTTCAACATATTACACTCACACACATTCTTTCTCTGTCTCTGTCTCTGTCTCTGTCTCTCTGTCTCTCTCTCTGTCTCTCTCTCTGTCTGTCTCTCACAGACACATAAACTCACACACACTAGATTCATCAGAAAGCCAAGAAAACAGATTCCCAATATTTGCAGTTCTCTAAAACCAATTCTACTGATATCACAATTGAAATATCAAAGAATTTGAAACCAGAATACTGAAAACAATCAATTACATTAAAGATGATACAAATAAGGAGCTGAATTAATCAAATAATTTATTATTTAATGAGGTCAAATAAGATACAATAGAGAACTGAATGATTCCAAGAGGAAATCATTATGCAACATATGATACACTGCTGCAGTAGAAAAAGAGAATTAGGGAAAATAAACTAAGAATTCCTAGAAGTCAATGCACAAATAGACTTATTAGAAATACAACTGAAAAAAATTCAACTGAAATTCTCAATTTAAGATGAATCACAAGTTATAGTATCAGAATCATAGGACATACTGGATGCGCTAGATTAATGACACAGAGAATAAAAATGAGAAGTGATGAGAAGTGGAATAGGCCAGAGTAGAATATGAAATTAACATTTCAGATGTATAATAATGTTACCTAATATATATTTTAAAAATAATTCAGAAAATCATATTGCATTCACCTATTAAAGGGGAAAACTCACTTTACTGATGCAATATGAAAGAATAAGAGAAAACCAACTAAAATACAAAAGTGAAAAGTAAAGTGACACCCTCAGAGTAAATGGAATTGTATTTTAGCACTGTGAAGCACACGGAATTTAAGAAAGGGAGCTAGTAAAATTAGCAGTAGAGACAAAAATAAATTCAATCAATAAAATTAGAATAATAAAATGTTCAAATATTGGAATTGAGTACTATTTTTCACATATTCCATATCATTTATCAAACAGTGAAAGAGATTACAAGTTATATACTGCAAAGGAATGATAAAGGTGTATTTTGATATATATGCTATCACAGCTGAGTTAATAGCTATCCACATGCATGTATCAAATTAACACAGTCTAGTAAATTCACACAAATATGGTCACTTCATCTATGTAACCTGTACTTTAGTTAATCTTTGAATAATAATGGTTGAGATCTGGAATACCCTCTTAACATCTCTTACACTTATAGGCTGGGCTTTTAGAATGTGAGGAAATCACAGAGATACTTATAGCTAGGAGCCTGACCACTGGGCCCATGAACCTGGGGGAATGGATGTCTCTCTCTGGCTCCTCCCTTCTCCCCCTGCTTCCTGGTCTTCATGAGGAGAGCAGCCTTTCTTCCACGATGCCCTCCATTACCCTGTTTCTAGCTTGCAACCAGCTCACCAGGGACTGACACTGTGAAACATAGCAAACTTTACCACTTCTCTGCTGTCAACTGCTTTGTCCCAGTCACAAGGAAAGAAAGTCATGCATAGGAAGTAAGCACCAACTGTCTTCTGGCAAACACAAAGCAGAAAAAATACTGAACTTACATTTGCAGAGGTAGACATGGGTCTCCTAGTTGTGCCTGTGTGTTCCTTCTCCTGACGGTGAAGATAACCTGAAGGAAGGACAAGCAGGAGTCTAACACTAGAAGATAAATGTTTGCCACGTTCAACATTTGGTTCATTCTATTTTATGAAGAGGAAAGGAATTTCATAAAATACATGTGCTAGAATACACACATGTACACACACCCTGCACACACACACACACACACACACACACACACACCGTACACACACAAATACACATGGACATTGTTCATACCCTTGACGATCACGGTGGTCATCACAATTTGATGAAAGGATAAACTGTAAGTTTTGGCTATCTTCCATTTTGTTCTCTGAGATTTCACCATAAAGAGTATCAGGGAAGTTACTGTATTCAGACTGAGGGATTCAAAGAGAATCCTGAGCTGTGCATCATTCTCCTGTTCCTTTTACCAGCAATTTATCCCTTGATTCATGGACATTTAACACTCACTTCATCCATCGCTGGCAACTGCAAACTGAAAATCATGTGTGTGTGTGTTTTTCTTTTGCTTGTCAGTAGCTGCATGCTATTTCTCTGTCACTGTCAAACATGCTCTGGCTCTCCTATTCCTTCCATATAGACTTGAAAACTCAAGCCACAGAAACCTGCAATGCTTTCTTATGTTTTTATTTCCACCAAAAAAATATTTTGCTGGCCCCGTTAAATAACTCTGTTACACACAATTGTTCCTACACACTTTCTCAACATTCTGCCGTTTCTTCAGATGTCAGCCAGGAAGAACATTAGCTACACAAAACTGCAAATATTAAGGTTTTTTTCTTTTTTCTCTTACTCAAACCCTGACTTTGGATTTCATCGCAGGGCCTTAGTGAGTGATGTACTGTGGAAATGAAATCGTTTTTCCCAGGAGGTTAGAGATAATCTGCAATGCATCAGTGCCATGAGATAAGCATTGAATATCTTTGAAGTTATGAGTATACGTTCATCTGAAACTTTAATGCATCTACTTGGTGCTCATACACCTCCTTCACCACATATCTCAAACCTGTTCTTGATTGCATGGTTTCGGGCCTAGGACTTACCTCAATGGCATAAGTGCCTGCCCTTGCAAGCATGCAGGCATGAGTTTAATCACAGTACCAAAAAAAAAAAAAAAGAATGGATTTTGATTTCATGATTTCTTTTCTTATTGTTGAGTTTTTAAATTTCTTTGTGTATTATGGATATAATTTCTTTATCAGAAATAAATTCTTCCAATAATTTCCCCCTGCAATTATCTTCATTCTGTTTCCTGATTGCCCTAATGTATGAAATGATCTGCACATTCACAGCAGGAGAAAGAACTGAACAGTAGCTAATATAAGTATTTAATAAACTCCTGGGATAAGTTTTGTATTACTGGGATCCCATTCTTTGCTGTGATTGATTATATTCTATGTGGAAATTCAAACCAAGATACAAGACTTTCACCACTTTTAAATCCCTGGATTTAGGGGAATATCTTTGACAAATGGCTGCAACCCTAAGAAAAAAACAAGCAATAAACCAATTTAGGCAGATGCACCTTTTCTCTCTGGAAGTTTAGGGAGCAGATGCTGTTTCCTTGCGTTTTGTTTTGTCTGGGTTTGACTTTGTTTGTTTACACTGATTACACTCACTCGTGCAATTCAGTACATATTCATCCAACCAATGAAAAGACACACACATATGCTCCTGCTGTGTAACCCCTGAGTTGTACAGTGCTTTCTCTTTCCCTCCCTAGTGGATCCATGACTCTTAATTGTGGACTGAGTTGAGCTATAGCTGCTCAGTTATGCAACAGAATTACCTAAGAAATATCTACATTGTTCACTTCCAAGCCTTCAAAGATCAGAGAAACTAAAAGGCTATTTCCCTGGCCATAACAGACAGAATGGGAAAAAGAAAATTGCATGAAATTTGAATTTCCTTTTACCAAATCAAACATATGCAGAAGGCAACAAAGTGAAATGGACCCTGTAAGTCAGACCCAGGTCTGCTACTCAATGGCTGTTGACTTCATGGAACTTACTACATATCCAGTGTTGTTTTCAGATGTAAGAAAGAGTTAATGATGCATAGCGGCTTTTCAGAGTTGCTGAGAGAATGAATTTATGTAATGCATTTAAATAACTAGATGAATTATACAATATAATAAATGCTGAGTTATCCTTGGTCTTTTAAAAATTACTTTTTCATTCCCTATTCTTATATTTCTGCCCCTCTGCAATGAACGTTTTACATCTTCTACTGGTGCATAAAATGTATTACACTTTGAGATCTCTGAGTCATTCATTTTCTTCTCTCTCCTGATATATGATAATTAATTGTTTACATGATCTACATTTATGTTTATATGTTTTACACAAGTAGAAGGAGCACTCAAAACCACTCTTACTCACCAATACCTGGATAAATGCCCAACCAGCTCCAACCAACACCTGATAGCATATGATGAATGACAGCAGAACAGTGGGGTCTTTGGAGAAGCGGAACGCAGCATTCCTAGGAAGCTCAGCTCTTCTTCTACAGTGCATGGACACCTGGAGAAGCCACACAGCCATCACATTCACCAGAACTGTGGGCAGGAGAAGGATCTTTGAGAATCACCCTGAACAAAATCCTCATTTACTTCTACATATAAAATCCCAATGGCCTGGTTGTTTAGCTCTGATTTAAATGTTTCCAGTGACACCGATTTACTGCCCTCAGTAGTAACCCAAACCCAGATCTGTATACACATGGATGAACTAAAGAAGAACTAACCCTATTATAAAAACTTCTAACAGGTTTATGCATTCATCCAAATGAGAGAATATTTTATTGCTAAATGAATTAACAAAAAGGTCAAAACAAAATGAAAAAATAAGATATTGGGTAGTATGTTAGAAAGATTTGCATAAATTTCTGCATATTTATAGAATATTTTACTGATGAAAACATAAATCAACAAGAATTACATGTGATAGTTATGTCTTATATGAGAAAACTGAGTGAGCTGCATAAAACTAGAATTCATTGAAAAACATGCATACAGTCATTTTCAAAGGTATAAACACAATTTAATGCTAACATGAATAAAAGATAGATTAATCTAAATATAAGTAGAGTGTCACTCTATTAAATATCTGTAATAATATTTCTAATTCAAGTTAAAAAATAAAATGCTATTATTTTTCACAAGTACAAATTGCATAAAATTTCCTTAGATTTTAAAATGTCACTAGTTGTGTGAGAACCTGACATAAACAATTTGAAAGACAAAAAGCTTATTTTGGTTCACAATCCACAGGTTGCAGTCCATGGCCTACCTTTTCTCACTTTAGACCTGCAGGAAGTCAGAAAGAGCAGAAAAGGCCAGGAAGAGGAAAGTGTCTCAGCATGGCAACCAGGCACCAAAGAAGAGTCCAGGAGTCAGACAGGAAAAATTCGGGGAACACATATATGCCTCATGTTCACCCCCATGACCCAATAAGGCTATTGCCTTTATCCATCACCTGCCTATAATGACATCCACCTATTCTTGCTGCCTTGATTATCTGATCATTTTCCAAAAACCCCATCGACTCTCAACAAAACCTTTAGTTTTATGGAACATTTCACTTCCCTACCATGACACTCCCATAGTTGCAATCATAGATAATATCACTGTATCTGAATGGCTTAAACAAACATCACCTTATCTAAAGGAAAACCATGATCAGGTAAACTCAGATGGTTTTCCACAGGCTCACTGCTACCTGATTGCAGGTTCTGCAATGTGTAACAAATAAATCATGCTATATGGTTTGGATACCAATGATAATGTGCTCAAATTCCTGATGCCATCACTGAGATGGTCACGGGGGTGAATTAGTTCCCATTTCATTATGTCCTCTAAAGCACAGGCATCCATCACATTCTTTAAATTCTCACAGATTTTTAAGACTACATCTTAGCAGTTTTCAAGGTTTGATCTAAATGGAAAATAACTTCCCCAAAACCTCATTCCACTCATAAAATTGAACCAACTGAAAGGGTTGGATTCTCCAGCAGGTGGGGGGCTCTCTCCTCCTGCTATGGGAAACCTTGTGCTTACTCATGTTTTACTGTTTTCCTTGATATCCGCTTCTCTGAGTCACTTAACAATAACACCTTCCTTACTGCCCAAGTCCTAGAAGACACAACAGAAAAGCTCACCACTACCATTTTCTGCACACTGCTGCTCATACCTCATTTTTTTTGCAAATGTGTATTTCTGAAAAAGGTTTAAATTTTCAGAGTTTTGCTCGTTTCATCTTTAAATTATTATGGTACTTTTCATTCTGTAAACTATTTCTGCCTCTAGAGCTTCCTTTATATACAGTACAAAAGTACTCTTAAAACATACAGGACAAAAAGAATATTTTCCTAAAATATTTGTGCAGGCTTCAATATTATCTCAGGAGTACAGATGTAGGACATTTTCCATAATAATATCTAGCTACCAAAAAGGCTTTTCATTTATTGAGTTGCTCTCCTACATGATATCACATTTTTCCTTGAATCAAGTGGCACATCTTACCCACTGATATCTGTGGATCTTCTTTACTAAATGTAATACTTCGTATGCTCACAGTCTTTCTCTTTAACTCTGTTTCAACTGACATCAATACAGCCGTTACAGCACTTCTAATTATGGTATTTGCATTGTGATTCTTACTCCTTTTTGGAATGTTTCCACATTGATTTACTGTTTTTAAAATTTCATGTACATATGAAGTTCATCTCTTTTAGAAAGTACTTGGCTTGGAATGGCTCTTCTATCCAGTTGGATAATGTCCTTAACTGAATGCTACATCCTTTACATCCAGGAAAATTCTTTGTTTTTATGGTTTCATTTTTTTGTTGTTGTTGTTTTTCACATCTGTTCTTTTTCTGCATAAACCTCATCTTCCCAGTACACCGACCCCTATATATAACCCAACAATTATCAGGAACTAACCCTCCCCAAAGATTCATCCTATTAGAAAATAATCCTAACTCTAACATAACACTAACCCTAACTTTATAACCCTAAGACTCTGACTATAACACTAAAACTAAGCAATGAGCTAAGCATAAATGAGCAGTAACCCCAAACCTATTACTCATGCTCCCCTACCCTAACACTGACAATACCCTACAATAACACTGACAACATCACCCACTCTGATTCCTAATCCCACCCCTCACTCTAAAACAAAAGAGATGAAAACTAACCATAGTCCTCCACCATTCATCCTATCCCTAACTCTGCTTCTATAAACACAGATTAAACTCAACCAATGTCAAAACCTAAACACTAAACTTTACCTTAACCCTAACTTGAACCCTAAATATGACCCCAGCTCTGACACTGATATTATCCCAACTGGACCTGTATCCTGCAGTATTAATCATAAATGTAACCCTAACCTTAACTCCCAACTGGAAACTCACACTGATCCCCAAGACTAATCACTAAAACCTGCCCTAATTCCTAATCTGAACCCGAACTCTGTTTTTGAAATCTAATCCTAACCACTAACCACTGCCCCTAACACTATATTTAATACCTTTAGCACTTACTGTAGCCCTAAACGTGGGCCTAAGCTAGCCCTCATTCCAATCCCAAAGCTGACTCTGCACCATACACCTCCTTTACTTATTCCCCCAAACAAAACTGAACCCTTAAAAAACCATTAGCTCAAATAAACATCTCCTCATAAATTGGGACTGTTGCTTATTTATTCTCAATAACAAGAAAATGTCCCACATCCCCCTTAGATCTTTATCTCCCTAAACCCAAACCCTAAACTCAATTACAATGCTAATCCCTACCCAAATCCTGAGTAACAGAAAGAGCCAAGGTTTATAGCAGCATGGTCTTAAGAGCAAAATCAAGGAAGCCATCTGTGTATCCACTGGTGACTGTGTAAAGAAAATGTACTATCTACACATAACGGAAAATAAAGAGAATAAAGATATGCCATGTGCAGGAATTTAATCTGCTAAGTGAATGTGAGCACTGTGTGTTTTATGCATGAGATGAGTTTAATAACATTAATGAAATCAAGCAAAAGGGATTTAGAAGAGGAAGAGGGAAGGGGATTACAAAACAACTCTACGGTGAATGTGCACCTACTCCCCACTGTGTGTAACTACAGCTACTGCAAGGATGTACTAAGAAGGAAATACTTTTCAAAAACCTGGAACCTAATTTCTAACACTTCATCTCTCATTCTCAGCCATAACACAGTGCAAATCTCATGTTAAACCTCCACTACATCCCAACAAACCTCAACCCAAACGCCATCTTGTTCCCTCACCCTAACATTCATCCCCTTCCTCATCCTAACTGTAATGGAATTTTGAAGAAATGACCTCATGACCTCGGTGATAGAACCCAACAAGGCTTGGAACTCTGGTAACCAAGCCTCCACACTTTTGAATCTATCTCCTGCCCTGATCACTTGGAGGGAGACATTCAAGAGTAGAAGATGAGCTTTTGCTGTTTTCCTGGTTTCCAAAGTTCTAGCCGCAAAAGGCACAGGAACCAGAGCCTTTTCAGATCTTGGTTCCCACCTCACTGTGGATGTTTCAAGCTAATGTTCAGGAGGAGCCGACAAGTAAGAGAGATAACCCCATGCCAATGCCAGCCTCTTAAGGGCAGTCATTCACCAATGGATTTGGGGGGATGTGCAGGGGTTGACCCAAACAGGGGGAGATTTAAAGTGTCCCAACTTTGACCTGTCCACTTCCTATTTCCTACTTCATGGTTGGAAGTATGACAGGCATCGAAGGTCTATAGTTACGGGATTATTGGGGATCAGTTTATCTGATGGGAGGTTAATCAACTGATTCAAGCTGTCCTCTCGCACCTCTCTGTCTCAAGATTATACATATACCGCCCTATGCCGCCTAACGTGGAGAGATTTTTCTATGAGGGCGCTGTGTGGGGATGGCCAGGAGGAGTGAATGATAACTTGTGGCTCAAATGTCAGGTACTCTCTTGGCAGAGCTCTGTGCAGATCATCAGCACACCATGTGGCAACTCGGTCTCCATCAACCCAGAGCAGGAGCATGAAAACTCCAACAGTGGCCAGTGCTGGTCTAGGGTGCAAGTGAGCACACAAGGGTCTGTACAGGTGAGAACTCATGCTGACCAGCACTAAGATCAAAGAAAGATAACTTCCCCGGGTCATGGCTTAGGGCTTGACCATAGAAATGACCTGTAGTCCCATTGCCAAAGGAATCTGGTCTTCCTTATAACCCTTGTTCACTTAAATAGGTATAAAGTTTCATATCATGCATTTGTAGAATCAGAGCAAGTATGTTCTGAATCATTTCCCTCTAAATCAAGATATGGACAACTTGGTTTGATGTAGTGTTTACTTAACTGCTCCAAGTATCCCATGTGCAATCAACTCCAATACCTTTCTGGGCCTTCTACACATCCAAACTCTTACCAGGAGGGTTCCACAAACAAATGAGTTATGTACACTCACAAAAATATAAACTTTGCTAAGCTGCTCTGCACATTTCTCAATAGTGTCACATCAAGAACATGTCACTCAATTCCCAGTACCAAAAAAAGAA